GGCCGCCTTCTCTGCAGGGCACCGGGCTCTGGCCGGAGTTGTGCCCGCGGGGATGTGGAGGGATGCGGTGCCCTCCGGCCTCTTCCCCACTTTCCTCTCTTGCGGAGGCGGGACCCCCCCCCACCCCCCACACCCCAGGCCGGGGAAGAAACGCTGGAGAGAGCAGCCCCCACCTCGCCCAGAAGGAAGACGCAGGAGGAAGTCCGGCCCAGGGAGCTCTGAGCCAGAGGCGGCCTGCCTTCCGCTTCCTCGCCTTGCCCAGGGTTCCCACTGCCATTCCCTGGGCTCCGCACCCCGCTGGGAGGGAGGGACCATTGGCGAACAGGATCCGGAGAGGAGTGGGGTGGATGTCCCCTCCCTCACTCCCTGGGCTCGGTGGTGCTGCTCTTGGCATCAGACACACTGGGGAGTCCAAGAGACCTTGTGAGCCTCGGTTTCCTCTGCTGTGAAATGGGGTGGTAGCCCCTCCTCCTTAGGGCTACCCTGAGGATAAAGGAGCTCTGAGAGTGCAGTGCTTACCAGGATGCAGCCACACGGCTAAGTGCTCCAAGAATGGTGACTTAGAAACAAGCCAGGGCCTCCCCTCAGACTCTGCCCAGCGCTCCAGGCATAGCCCGCGGCGGTGGCACGGTGCCTCCAGTGGGAACAAAGTCTTGGCCCTGGGATGCTGCTGTTGTTTATGAGCCCTCCCGGCTCCGGGCTGGGTGGTATCTGGGTTGCCAGGTGGGTGGGTGGATGGGGCGAGGTGGGTCAGGGCCCTGGGACAAAGCTGCTGTGCCCCTTCCTGTTTGGCCAGCAGTTAATCTACACGATGCCATTCCGGTTCCACATGCCTGTCCAGCCTGTCACCTGCCCTCTGACTCTCCTCCATCTGCAGCTGCAGAGGGTCCTGCAGGCTCTGGGTTCTCAGATCAGCCAGACCAAGCCTTCCCCTTTTGACACAGGCGTCATCTGGGCTCAGAGAGGGGCTGGCACAGGGTCACACGGAGTGTCTGTGACTGGATGGCCCCATCCCTCCCTGATTCCTGGGGACTACCTCCTGGCACAGGGTCCCCAAGAACATGGCAGGATGAGCCCCACCCATGGCCCTGACACAGCTGTCCCCCACAGGTGGCCTGAGTGTGGATGACTTCCGGAAGGTGCTGATGAAGACGGGGCTGGTGCTGGTGGTGCTGGGCCACATGAGCTTCATCGAGGCCGCCTTGCTCCACGGCACCGTGCTGCGCTACGTGGCTGCCCCCCACGATGCCGCGGCTCTGCAGTACTGCGTGGTCAACATCCTCTCGGTCACCTCTGCCATCCTGGTAGGCCCAGGCCGGGAGGGGCTGGCAGGGCTGGAGGGGCTGAAAGGTTCTGGAAGAGTCTCCACGCAGAGAGCCCACGCCTAACCCCTGCTCCACTTACCAACCACACGAGCCACCCAAGCTCCCTTTACCTCAGCTTCCTCATCTATAAAGTGGGGATCGTAACAGTGTCCACCACAGAGGGTCCTGGTGAGCACTGGTCGGGATCATCCACTAAAGTGCTCGGCACAGTGTCTGCCACATGCTCAGCCTCACTGCTGTGAGCTGGGATGAGGAGTATAGTGGGCAATGGGCAAGACGCCACCGGACAGAAGGAAGGAGCAGCCGCTCAGCTGGAGAGGGTTCAGGAGGGTTCACCGGGGTAGACGCCCCTGAGCTGGGCACTGATGGCTGAGTAGGAATTCCAGGATAGGGTGCAATTACCATAGCCCGGGTGTGTGGCCAACAGGTAGCAGAGGAAGCTGGGATAGCATTCCAAGCACAGAGTATGGCAGATGCAAAGGTATGGAAGTGGGAATAGCTCAGGTCTGTTCTGGAGACACTGAAAAAACAATGTTTCAGAAGCTTAGCATGAGGCCTGGTCTACATAAGTACTGAATAAATGGTCGCCACCGTTATGCCTGGATGTCGAGACCGGCTTGATGAATACATGAATGAAGGAGCCCGGTATTCTCAAGTGCATAAAGTTCTTTCCCACCTGGCCACAGAGGTGGCCACAGCCCTTTGGGCAACGTCCACATGTCAGCGCCAGGTCCTTTCCTGCCACCTCCTGGCTAAGGGACTTATTTTTCCCTGTCAGCCTGTTCCCTCCCCTGCATAACAAAGTTCGGCCAGCCCAGCAAGGAGCGCCTCCGTCAGTGGGACAGGCTGAGCCATGGCGATGTGTGCGGTCCTTTGGCGTTATTATTACTGTTGTGTTTTTCTCTCACCAGCCTGGATAGAAGGCAAGGAAGGCCGTGAGCTCAGGGTTGTGGGCTCCAGGATGGACCACTTCCGCTTTACCCTCATTTCCTCATTTAATTCTCACTGTTCTCAGCAACATGGGGCCATTATTACCCCGACAGGGGGAAACCTCTCAGGGACTCACCCAGCCTCCTGCTGAAGCAAAGAGGCCAAGCTGGATTTGACACGATGTGTCTGACACCAAAGCCAGTGTCTTTTCCATAAGCTTATCCTGCAGAGCAGGACTTAGCCCAGAGAGGTTGAGGCACCTACTCATGGCTGCACAGTGAGTTACAGACGTTGCTGGACTCCTATTATACCACCTGCCTCCCATGGGTGCAGCCCATGCCTGACACAGTGAGGGAGCTCAGGAAGGAAGCCTGGCTGAATGGAGCCCCGAAGAGCCAGGGGCAGCCGGTGGGTTAAACAGCCAACTCTTGGGGCTGAGAGGACACTGTGCGGACAGCATCATGAGCAGGCTGTGTGTGGGTGTCTACATCCAGGGCAATGAGGAAGAGGCTTGGCAGGGTGGGGCTGAGATGCTGCTGGGACTGAGGCCAGGTCGCTGAGAGCTTGAGATAATGTACTCCTAAGATTTTGAATTCTCCATAAAATGTCCTGATTTGTTTATTTTGTGTTTAGTTCCTTGACAGCGAGTTACTTAGTTTCTTCCCAAATCTCTTCCACTCCAGGGAGGCAAGTCATACATATCCTGGTACATGCCGCTGCGGCCCTGGGATACACAGGTCCCTGTTGGAGCTACACAGCTATGGGCAGTGGGGAGCCATGGAAGGTTGTAGGCAGGAAGTGACTGTGCTTTAGAAACATCACTTGGGGGCTGGACCATGAGGGGGCAGTGCCTCCATGCAGATCAAAGTAATGAAGCTAAGGCTAAGCAGCAGGGGAGGAGGCGGCTTGGGGGCTCCAGTTGGCATTGGCGGAATCCTTATCTGAGAGTGGCCCTGACCTCACTGCCCGCTCTCCTCCAGCAGGAGGGTCAGGGCTGACTTGAGTCTCCCCACAGGTCATCACCTCGGGCATCGCAGCCATTGTGTTGTCACGCTACCTCCCCAGCATCCCTCTGGTATGTGGCACCTCCCGGAATGGGGCTTTGGGGAAAGAAGGGCCTGGCCTGCTGGGAGGGGGTGAGCTGACCCCATGGGGGGCCAGAACTGCCCATGTTGGGTGGAGCCTGATAGCCATTGACCAGTGGTCTCTCCTCTCCAGCGCTGGGCAGTATTTAGTTCAAGTGTGGCCTGTGCCCTTCTCTCTCTGACCTGTGCTCTCGGACTCTTGGCCTCGATCGCTGTGACCTTTGCCACCCAGGGCCGGGCACTGCTGGCCGCCTGCACTTTTGAGAGCCCCGAACTACTGGCCCTGGCACCCGACTGTCCCTTCGACCCCACACGCATTTATGTGAGTGCTTAGGCCTGGGATGGGGTGGGGAGGTGGGGGTCAATCAAGTGCTCCTCAGAGGTGGGAAGGGTTCTTGGAGCCTTGCCCACCCACCCCCAACCCCTGTGCCATCTCTGCCCCCTGTGTCCCTGCAGAGCTCCAGCCTGTGCCTCTGGGGTATCTCCCTTGTGTTCTGCGTGGCAGAGAGTGTGTTCGCTGTGCGATGCGCCCAGCTCGCCCACCAGCTGCTGGAACTGAGGCCCTGGTGGGGGAAAAGCAGCCACCACATGGTAAGGCCTGCCATCCCCTCCACAGCCTTGACTCCCCTCATTTTCTGGGAGCCCCTGCTGGGCAGCCCCCATCCCTCTGCATGGGGCTCCCACTTGAGAACTGGGGTGACAGTGTTCTCCCCAGGACCAAAGGGAGAGGCCTGGAGGCTCAGAGGGGTCAGATCTCCCAGCTAAGACGCACAGCTGGCTCCTGGTTCACCCAGGGCCCAGGACTTGAGGGGGTGGGGGGGTCATCTGGGCTGGAACTGGGGGCACTCCAAGGGTGTGGCCTGGATGCAGTGATGCCGCTCTGCTTCAGGGAGCCTCGTCTCCCCGGGGGGCCTGGAGGAGACCCAGACCCAGGTCCACAGCCTGGCAGCCTCTCCTGTCTCCGCAGATGCAGGAGAGCCTGGAGCCTGCGGAAGGCCACGACCTGATGAACTGCCCCAGCTCTGGCCCGCTGACCCTCTGACAGCTGCTGCCTCACCCACACCCCATGAGCACAGGGACCTGCAACCAAGTCTGCACTGTGACCAGGCCGGGATCCCTGGAGCTGACCCATGAGGGCTCGGTGGCCATTCCCGGACCTGGGTGGGGATTTTAAACCCCTCCCCCCGGCCACCCACGCTCTGCGCTGAAGTGAGACTTTATTCTGAAGTTATTAAAAAGAACAGAGACGCTCGGCCGGAGGCATGCAGCAGGGGAGGGCTCGGCCAGGGCCTGTGCTTTCCCACGCAGGATGCAGGGGGCGGGGCGGTTAGGTGTGTCTGTGGGCCTGTGTTCATCCACGTGCTGAAAGGCGGGCGGGGGTTCATGGGGCTCACACTGCAATCGGGAGGTTTTCCTTTTGCAGCACGGCCTCCAGCCAACAAAAGCTGCAGCAGGAAGGGAAGGATGGCTCCAGGAAGCTTTATCCTTATCCCTCCACGCCCCCGCCCCCCAATCCTTCTCTCCCCTCCAAATAAAAAGACTGGCTCCTCACCTGGGCTCGGTTTCCACGCTCCCTACCCAGGCTGAGACCTACCAGGGTGGGGTGGGGGGGGAGGGGGAACTGCCCGGTGATTGGGGGAGGGACGTGTGGCCTCGGGGCTGTGCATTTGGGTTGGGAGGGGGGCTGGTTGAAATTCTGAGATCGAGGTAGGGGAAGGCTGACTCGGAGGGGAGGACCACGCCAGAGCCTGTCTCCCTATCTTTGCCGAAGGGAGATATGGCCTTGGATTGGGGGTGCTAACCGCTTGCTTGGGCCTTGGGAGGACGGCAGGGTTCCCTTTTCCATAGGCTCCCCCCAGAGTGCGGACCCTGGGGGGGAAGGCCCAGTCTGACCCCCAGCCTGGAGAGACACAAGGGAGGGGAAGCGAGAGCCGGGAGCGGCCGGTGGAGGCGGGGAGGAGGGGCCCTGGCTCCTCGCTCAGAACTGGGAGGCGCTGCTGGGGTCGCACTGCAGCAGGCGCACGATGGACGGGTCGCTCTTGGCCCCGCGGATGAACTCCTCCAGGGACAGCTTTCCTGCAGCGGGAGGGAACGGTGTCGGGGGAAGGCGGCCCCCGCGCCAGGGGAGGCAGAGGGCAGAGCCGCGGAGGGGGAGGAGGTGGCGCCCGCCCCTGCCCCTCACCGTCGTTATTCGTGTCCATTTGGCGGAAGATTTTCTCCGTCCTCTTCTCCGGGGTCGACTCGTCCTCCGGCATCTTCATCACCGACGAAACCATCTTGTAAATGGCCTGGGGGTTGGAGGGGAAGGCGGGGAGTGAGAGGAGGCTGCCGAGCACCCCCACCCCAACCTTCAGAAGCGCCCCCAGGTACACTGACGAGTGGAGAGGGGGTCACGGAGGCGTGGGGGCCCCGGGGGTCCGGGAAGGAGTGTCTGGAAAGGTTTCCCAGGAGGGGGGTCTATAGGCGAGGGCCCTGACCAAGTTCCATGGCGCGCTAGGTGGGAGAGGAGTTGCTGACCGAGGGATAGGCATAGCCAAAGAGCGCAGCGGGAAGCTCCGAGCGGGCGCCGACAGTTTGGGGGTAGCTGAGTGCAGGGGATGCTGGAAGACATGGGGCTGCAGGTTCCCGGGTAAGCACGGTTTTAGCGCTTTTTCTCGGAAACTCCGGGTGCCCCGCGCTGGGCACGGACAGAGGGAATTGGGCTGCGGCAGGTGGCACTGGGCTGCGGTACCGCTGTGGCCGGCAGGGGGCGCTGGGCCGCCTTGAGGGCTGAAAGGCCGGAGGCTGCAGGGCCCAGAGGGGGCGGGGAATGTTATGCAAATAAACGCAAATGAGCATCTGCCGGGGGCGGGGACAACCTGGACTCCGCGGGACCCTAGGCAGTAGTCGCCCACGTGCAGGAGCTCCGAGGCACACCAAGGGCGGTTGCGCTAAAAGTACACAGAGCACGTGGGGCTTGGCGGGTGGGATAGGCTCAAGGACCGGGCCGATGGTCTCCATCTTCCAGCTTTTTGCTACTGAAGCCACCTCCAAGAAACCTGCTTCCCTTCGCCCTTACCACAAATGTTCCCTGCCTCAGATCCGGCTTTAGCCTCCACCTGGTCTCTCCCGGCCTCATTCCCTGGGTCTGTGCCCCCACGCTGCCTCCGAGAGCTCTTTCTAAACACAGATCTCCACCACCACGTCCCCAGCCCAGCGGGCCGCCCCCTCTTTCCAGTCATCCGCAGGCCTCCCTCCAGACCTGCCGTGCACTCAGCTCCTTCTGGATGCTGCCCCACGCTTCTTCTGCTGCCTCCCACTCTGCGGCTCAGCTTCCATGGCGCTTGCCTAGGGAGCCCTCCTCTGATCCATGCTGGTCAGGGCCCATATGCCCGCTCGGAGCCTCCTGGGCTTCTCCTTAGGGGACACCGCAGGGGACGCCTTTGTTGGATTGTTCCTAGTCCCCAACATACCAATAAGGACGGTGGACATCTAGCTAGTGCCCATATCCCCAGAGCTGAGCACCGTGCCCGGCTTCTGGCAGGAACTTCCCTTTCGAAAGCCGCTGGCACCTCCCGCTGCCCTCTGTACCAAGTCCAAGCCATTTGGCCCTTGGCGTTCAGAGTTTTTACAATCTGGTCCCTCGGACCCCTCCACTATCAGGCCTCCACTGGTAGGTGATTCTGCCGCAACTAAACACTCCTGCACCTTTCCCGTTCCCCAGCTCTGACAGCCTCTGCCTGGAACGATCATACCAGCTACCATTTATGTGTCAGGTACTTTATCCCTATTTTCCAGATAAGAAATAAAGGCTCAGGACAGGAATTCATGGCAGAGACCAGATTAGAACCCACTTCCTCTTAGTTGCTGGAGAGATGCTTGTGGGAGGTGATGATCAGCGGGGGCTGGGAGGTAAGGTGGACCTGGAGTGGCATCCTGTTTCCACTACTCACTTGCTATGTAGCCCTAGACAAGTACTTAACCTCTGTGAGCCTCAGTTTCCTCATCTGTAAAATGGGGTAATCATATCTCCCTCGTGGGGATTGTCTAACGGATTAAATGAGATCATGTGCATAGAACAGTGACTGGCTAGAGTAAGTAGTAGTCAGTAAACAGCAGCTTGTATACTAATTGTTACTCATCCACCACATCCTCAGTTCTTCCCTGACCTTCAGTGCCCTGAGCTCCCAGATGCCACATATACAACCCTGTCACCAAGCTGGGCAGTGTGGCCTGCCCACCAGGGTGGGAGCCCCAAGCAGCCAAGATGCAGTTTCTTCCCTTCTAGTGTACTGACCACAGGACAGGGTCTGAGGAGGACTGAGCAAGTGACTTAGTGAACGCCCCCTTGCGGGCCTCCTAATTAATTGTCTGGAATTGCTGCTCACTCATTGTTTCCCTGGAGCTGACTTGTAATTAATCAGGCACTGGGGCTTGCCTCACTCTGCACTGGCCTCTGGGGCTGACTGATGGGCTGTAGGGAGGGAAACCAGGGCCCAGCCCACAGGGCCAGCCAGGCCGTCCCGAGGATGCCCAGGGAATGGGACTGGCTGGCGCCCCCAGCAGGGCTGAGATTTACGAGTATACACCAGTGCAACCAGGCTACGTGGTAAAACATGAACACCCCGCCACATTGGTTGGTATCCAGCTGCTGCCCAACCCCTCAGTAATCCTCCACCACTCTGGCTACCGCAACCTTTCCACCAGAACCCCCAGAGCTCCCCACTACCCATCAACTAGAGATTTAATGCCTGGCCCGCGGGAGTCACTGACAAACGTAAAGGCTTTCCCCTCTTGACAGGCAAAGGGAGGCACCACATCCCAAGGCAGCCATTCTACTCTAGCTGGAGAGAGCAGACCCAGGCCCTAGAGACAGAGAAGCCGACGAGTCCAGTAGGGCGAGGTGAGTTAGAAGTGGGGAGCAGTCGGCAGAGCTGAGGGACGAAAAGAAAGAGGAAGGAAAGGGAGCAAGGGCTTGAGCAAAGCTGTGCAGCAGGATCACTCCGGGCACATTCCAAGGCCAGTCCGGCTGGAGCAGAGAATGTGCAGGAAGAGAATCAACGTTTACCACGAACCAACTGTCTGCGGGGCCTTCTGCCAGAGTCCCTTCCCACTTTACACCTATCGTAGCCTTGAGGGTTAACATCCTCACTTTACAGGTGAAGAAACAGAAGCTCAGGTACAAGGAACTGGACGGGTAAAAAGAGAACCAGAGCCTTGATGGTCTTTAGTGCTGCACTGAGGGCATGGACAGTCCGGAAGCTTTTTGAGATAAAGCTAACATGTCACACTTAAATTTGTATTAAAATGGCATTCTTATCAGGTCCTAAATTCTCCCTGTAAGATCGGAATTTTTCAGATGAGCTATCTAAGAGTTGAGTCCAACTCCAGAATGGGAAGCCAGACCCTTTTCAAGAGGTAGCTCTGAGTGGTAGCCAGCTTGAGCTTGACCCCTCTTATATGCTGTGTGACCTTGGACAAGTCACTTCACCTCTCTGAGCCTCATGAGGCTGCTGTAAAGATGCACTGAGCTCGTGGCTGTAAGCACGAGGCTATCAGAGAGCCCTGAATTAATTAGTTGGATTGTGGCTGGGTGTCCAGATGGAATGTGGACTGTGAATCCAAGTGGCCCACTCACAGGCTGTGTGGCCTCGAGCAAATGTCTTTACCTCTCTGAGCATCTGTTTTCTCTTGAGTAAATGAGGATCGATTCAACGTAACTGGCCTGTCCTCTGCAGGAATGTCAAATCTTGAAAGACAAAGAAAGGCTGAGGAACTGTTACAGACTAACAGGGACTAAAGAGACACGAAAACAAAATGCAGTGTGTGATCCTAGATCAGGGCAAAAGAGAGTATTATGAAGACATTTGGCAAAATTGGAATATGGTCTGTAGGTTAGATAACAGCATTGTTTCTGTGTAAAATGCCCTGACTTTGATGATCATATTGTGGGCTATGTAAGAGGATGTCCCTGTTCTTAGGGACTATATCCCGATGTATTTGGGGGTAAAGGGTCCTGTCCGGAACAACAAAACATTACACACATGTGCACACACACAATGATAAAGCAGTGGTGGTCAATATTAATTGGTGGATCTGGCTAAAGGGTTTATGGGAGTTTACTCAACTTTTCTTTAAATGAGAAAAGATTTCCTAATTAAAGAGTTTTTTAAATGGGCTGTAAGAATAGCACCTGCTGCCTCCCACCCACAGGGCTGTCAAGAGGATAAAAAGGGGTGCTGGGCCCTGCACCTGGCATTCTGAGGGGCCCAGGGGCCCACCTGCACAATCTCGAGCATCTCCTCACGGCTGATGTAGCCGTTGCCATCCAGGTCATACATGCTGAAGGCCCACATGAGCTTCTGCTCCAGGCGGCCACGCGAGGTCACACTCAGCGCGATGATGAACTCCCGGAAGTCAATGGTGCCATCGCTGTTGGTGTCGAAGGTGCGGAAGACGTGCTCAGCGAACTTGGAGGCGTCACCATAAGGGAAGAAGTTGGCGTAGATCTTCTTGAATTCGTCCACGTTGAGGATGCCCGTGGGGCAGTCCTTGAGGAAGCCCTTGTACCACTCCTGCAGCTCCAGCTCCGAGAACTCCGTGTTCTCCCGCAGGTCTTGCAGCATCTCGGGCCGAAGCTTGCTGTTCTGCTTGCCCATGGCCACTGAGCTGAGTCCTACCTAGGTCCCCCAGAGAGTCAAGGAATGGAGAGGGGAAGTCAGGCCCTCCTGGTCCCTTGACACCACTCCAGGAGGGCCCCCAAACACCAGACACCCAGCCTCTCGTTTGACTCAGTGAGAGAGAGGAGCTGGCCCAGGTCACACAGCCTGCACCCAGGCATCCTGCCTCCGTGACAGGCTCCACACCATTTCCCCAGACCTCACCCTTCCCCAGGGAACAGGCCTGGAGACAGGAAGGGAAGGGACTTACATTCACTAAGGCCCTGCTCAGGGCCAGCCACTGGGCCTTCACAGATATACACCACTTCACCCCCCCAAAGCGAAGCCTGGGGGTTAGTCCCATTTTACAGATGAGAAGACAGGATCAAGGGAGTGAGGTGACCTGGTTCAAGTGTCACAGCCATGGAGTCACAAGACTGACTCCCAGCGTTTCCCAGGGAGGAGCAGAGCGGCCTTCTGGTCCGCCTCCCTCCTCCCCTCAGCCCCCTCATTGTCTCACATACGCCTGATTACCACGAAATACACCTGCAGCCCACCCACTGGCCTGTTCTCCCACACACTTGTGCCCCACAGCGGGTGGCATAAGATAGGTGTTGGTGTGGGCTCTAGAGCCAGACCACCTGGGTTTAAGTCCCAGCTCTGCCTCTTCCCAGCAATGTGACCTTGGGCAATTTCCTTAAACTCTCTCTGCCCCATCTGTAAAGTGGGGTAACAGTACCTACCTCATGAGGGTTGTGGAATCAAATTAGTTAACACATGGGAAGCATTTAGAATGTCTGCACATGTAAGTGCTAGATAAGTGTTAAATAAAAAAAAATGATTTCCATGTACTAGATGCCGCAAGACGCATGCACCACACACACATGAATGCATACTGACACATGACACACAGCTCACCAAATCCATATGCTGGGTCCCATGCCACAGACCACCCCACACCCACCCATGGGTCACCATGCCTCCACACATGACAACATGCCCTCTGCTCTCCAACTCACATGGGAGGACACAGGGCACCACGCATGCACAACTCTCATACCCTTCCCATCACAACATGCCAGCCCACGATCCCACATGTCATCACAAGCCAACTCCCATGCCTGCGACACCTCGCATGTGGCCAGCTGCACATGGGACCCTCAGGCTCTCTTGCCATCTTTCTCTCCCCAGGGGCGCTGCCGGGTCCCAGGACAGGGAGCTGCAGCCCTTCTCAGACCTCGGTGGGTCCCTCCTCCAGGGAGACCTGCAGCCAGCCAACCCTCCCCAGCACTCACCTGGCCTCTAGTCCAGAAAGGTCCCCCGTGTGCAGGAGCTTAGAGCGTGGAGGGCTGAGGGGACAGCCACGGAGAGAGACAGCCAGGCAGTTCTGGGCAAAGATGCGGGAGTACGTGCAGGTGAATCTCCCCGGCTTGGGGCTGTGCGACAGGGCGAGGGGGTTCCTTGTGTGTGAATTTGCACGCAGCTCTGTGCACATGTGGGTGAGCGTGTGTGTGAGTGCATGTGCTCATGTATGCACGTGTGTCCCTGGCTTCTGCACTGCATGTGTCTCCCCATGTGCCTCAATCCCTATCTGTGCATGTGCATGTGACCAGGTACGCACCCCTCACAGTGAGGGAGAGGTGCCTGTGTGTGCCCCCAGCAGTCTCACATGCATGTTTCTGTAAGTTGGCCGCCCTCCCTTCTAAACCAGCGTCTCCTGGCCCAAGCCGAGGGTGAACAAGTGTGTGGGAGGGACTGAGGACAGGCCTGTGGCCGGGGTGGCCGAGTGTGTCCCCTACTCCCTCCTCAAGGTCCAAGGAACTGGGTCATGGGGTGGGGGCGGAGAGGTGCGCCGGGCAGGAGAGAGCTTCCCGGGCCCCCTCTTCCCCGCCACCCTCGGAGTGGCCCCTCCCGGGTGGAAGACGTGGAAATGACGGTGGTAGAAGATTCTGTTGTCTCGCAAAGACCCCAGTCCCCACAATGGGGCGGACTCACAGCTCGACCTGGGGAACCTGCCTGGGGACCCTGCCTGGACCCCTCCGCAGCTCTCGCCCCGAGCCCCCGCCTCCATCCCTGCAGCGCCGGCCGAGCGGCCCCTCCTGGAGGGGGCGCGCTGCGGCGGCCGAAGCCGAGCCCTCCGCGCGGGCCACTCCGAGGTCAGCACCCTGGAGAGCTCCGCGCGCGGTGCCCGGCGGCCCCCACTCCCCGCGCGCCCGGAGGGAGGGTTCCCGGGGGCGCGGCAGCGGCGGGGTGGGGAGCCCTGGACGTGGCCCCCTCCCTCCGGCCGGCCCCCTCCCCGCATCCCCCAGCCCCGACCGGAGCGGCCCCCACTCACCGGCGACGCGGAGACACCGACTGCGCAGGGAAGGCGGCGCTGCTGCGGCGCGCGGCGACAGAGGCGGCCGGAGGGCGGGCGGGGGGCGGGAGGAGGGACTGCGAGGGAGACGCCCCGCAGCGTTGGCCCGGGCCCTCCTCTGGGGTGGGGGTCCCGGCTTCTCCCTTTCCCCTCCAGCCCAGGGGGTTAGGGGGGCGATGGACGAACCCCAACCCCCTCCCCTGCCCCTAGAGGGAAGGGGACCCCCTCACTTCCCCGCCCCTCGCGCGAGGGAGCACCGGCCCGGGGAGGAGGACCGAGGTCCCATCTCTTGAGCATCTCGATTCAGGCAATCTGACTGGGTGGCCAGAGGTCAGGGCCCAGACACCTCTTTCCTACGCCCCCCAAGCACCCCCACCACCCCACCCCTTCCCTGCCAGTCTCCCCCATCCCTACCTGGGCGCGGAGCAGCACGTCGAATCCGGATCCTAGTGGGGTGCTAATTGCCCTGCTGCCCCCGCGCCTCCACTCCGGAACTGAGCTGAGGGTTCTTCCGGGAGGGGCAGCGCCCACTCCTCCAGTCCTGCCCCTACCCCACCTCCGCCTTAAAGAACAGAGTGCACCCCCATATCCCGCCTGACACTCCAGATCTCCTCAGAATTAATCCCACCTTCCAACATCGATCTAACGTGCTCCTCCCCCTCACCTCCCCCGTCAAGGAAGCCGCCTGCCTCCCTCCCAGCCTCTGCCGTGGGGGCTGGGGACCATCCATCTCCAGCTTGGCGGGTTCTGAGGTGCATAGGCCCAGCTCAGCAACAATCCCTGTATCCTGAGCTCGAATTTTGTCCTTTCTCCATCTCTAGGAGGTGGTCCTTCGTGTCCCCACTTCACAGATGAGGAAACTGAGGTTCAAAGGGGTTACATGACTTTTCCAGTGTCTGACAGCAGTGATGGAAGGTTTGGACTTGGATCCATGCGCCCTCAGCCACTCACTGCACATACTTATCAAGCACTAAGTCTGTGCCCAGCACTGTTCTAGGCAGTGGGGTTACAGGACTGGACAGTAAACAATGGACACAATAGCCCGGCCTGTGTGGCTCAGTGGTTGAGCATCAACCTAAGAACCAGGAGGTCACGGTTCGATTCCTAGTCAAGGCACATACATGCCTGGGTTGCGGGCTCGATTCCCAGTGCAGGGTGTGTAGGAGGCAGCAGATCAATGAATGATTCTCTCTCATCGCTGATGTTTCTATCTCTCCCTCTCCCTTCCTCTCTGATATCAATAAAAACATATGTAAAGAAAACAATGGACACAGTGTACAAGTCAAGCCTACAGTGCATTAGGGACGTGTTTGGGGACAAGGGGAGGTCTGTGTGCAGAGGCTGGGCGGCGGGCAGTGCTCCGGACCATGCCAAGGGCTTCAGGTTTTATTCCAGATGAGATGGGAACCTCTCCGGGCTTTGAGCCGTGAGAGGGTCTGACGTCCAGGTCAAGCCTACGCAGGCCTTCTATCAAGAACAGACTTTGAGGATTGGGAGCCACGGTGGCAGCAAGGGGCCAACTCAGGGTAAAAGATGAGCAGGGTGGCACAGAGGGGCTGGTTCTCGGGGGTACTGAGAAGGCGGGCCCACGGCATCTGACTGGACAACTCCTCCCAATTCTGTGGCGCTGCCTGGGCCGTCCTGGCTCCTAGGGCTCAGACCAAAGCTCCAGGTTCCCAGGCCACGCTGCTCAGGTGGTCCCAGACTCTCCCTGAGCTGGGAGCCAGGCTGCGGAAGACCAGGAGGGCAGCTGGGCCCTCGGAACACCAGCTCCTCTGTGTGCCTTGGCACCGGTGTTGGGACCCCCTGGTGGAGGCGTGAGAGACGCCAGACATGTGTGGGTGGTTCCCAGCTGCCTCCTGCGTGAGGACCTGGGGGTGGGGAGAGACTTGCTGCTCAGCCCCCACCTCAGGCCCTTTGAGTGACAGGCTCTCCCCCCTCTCCCCACTAGGCCAGGAGGGCCGGCTGCCGGGGCAGGAAGAGGGGCCTGCCCTGCAGTCACTGCTTCAGGTCCTCTCCCCCGCCCCCATCTCCCCCTTCCTCTCCCACCTGCCGGAAGCCAGAATCTCCTCATCCGCTCTAGGTCCCCTCCCATCCTGTGGTCTCGGTTTACCCTCACAGGGGCTGCTCAGCCACTCTGCTCCTCCCACTTCCCTGCCCAGCCTCCCCTCCTCCAGGCGGCTCAGCTCAGCTCCTCTCCTGGGCTGGGCTCCCAGGCTCAGCCCCTCGGAGCCCACTTCTCCCAGCCCCTCCTCCCCCGTTTTCCTGCTCTGTGAGGCTGACTGATGCCCTGCCCTCAGGACCCCGTCTGCATCCTGCCTCCCTCCCCAGCGGGGCTTCTGGAGGCAGGCCCATGGCCTTCCCTCCCCCTGCGTACCCCGCCTCCCTTTGGCTTTCCCTGCACCTCAAGTGAGTAGGTGGACCTGGAGGTAGAGTTTGGGCCCTGGTAGGCTCTGCTGGTTACTTCCCATCAGCCACTTCTCCCTCCTAAGAAGCTCTGGGAGGCCTCTGTGAGCAAAGGGGGAAGCTTGGGGTCCCCCCACCCCGACTGCACACTAAGGCCCTTGGCCCAAGACTTCGTGCCCTGAGATATCGCCCAGAAAGGGGGGCAGAGGGGCAGTCGGCAGAGGCCTGGGTATCTTCCCCTTTCTGAGCAGGAAGGTGAGACAGGTCACCGGGGTGCCTGGCGTTTCCCAGACCAGGGCACTGACAGGCAGGCCTCGCGCACAGCCTCACCGGCCCTCGGCGTGGGATTCTGGGCATGAGCACACACTGATGAGGCCCCAGTGGCCCTGGAACCCTGCCAGCGTGCCGTCTATGAAGGCCTCTATGGGGTGGGAATGTGGGTGTCCTTGCTGATGACACTCAGCCCCTCGCACCCCAATCTGAGGCATCTAGGAGGGAGAGGAGGCCGTCTTAGGGTAGACGCAGAGGGTGGAGCAGTGGGCGTGGCCATGGGAGACAGAGAGAGGGCAAGTCCCAGCATCTGACCAGTGAGGAGCTGAGCAGTCAAAAGACAGATGCAGAGTAGCTACCCTCCCCCAGCACAGAGAGGATCCGACCAGCTCCCAGGATGCCAGAGAGAGAAGCAGTGGGCACGCGTGGAGAGGGGACGGCGTAGCTCTGAGCACCTACTGCATGCGCCGTGCTTTGGGCTCCTAGGCTCGGCCCCTCTGAGTCCTACTGTACGCGTCACCTCATTGGATCGGCACGAATCCCGAGGAGTCACTCATATTA